TTCCACAAAGCCTTCCTCTTCTTTTCCAAACAGAGTTTAATCCCTCCATTCTTTGTGCCCTCATATCACTTTATTCATTCCTCTTTTAGGGTACTTACCCTGTTTTACTTGCTTTAGGTATCTGGATTTGTTAGCCTCAATGGTTTACAAGGATAGAGTATTAATGTATAGGTCTAGTATTTTTCTATGTACTGCTCTGGCACTCAACACACAACAGGCATTCAGTCAAATGTTGAATGAATAAATTTATTGCATTTATTGCATGTTTCCTTAGGCACCTCTCAGCAACATAATGACAAATGAATTCAGTAAGCTTTACAGAATTTGCAGAAATTCTCACCTTTTCTTCTGCTGACGCTTGCTAACACCAAGTGTTCAACAATAAAATGGAAACATCTTTAGACTAATTAATGAAACACAAGTAAACATCTTTTTAGTAATCTTAATACAAGAAAATCTCAAATACTCGAGAAGTATATGGAAAATACGGACGAATGTCTTTCTCAAATATTTATTAGTGAAGTTTTTCACAGGAGCTAGACAATAGTCCATTCAAGGCTGGAGTGTTTATGCTGCTGAAGAAGAGTCCTCATGCTTTGTCTATCAGATATGCAGGTGACAAGATTGACACTGTTTTGGAGGTTAAGAAACTGAATATAATTTCTTCTGGTGTAATAAAGATTTCTTTCTTAAGGAAATAAGTTTTAGGCTTGTTTAAGAGCTTAAACAAGTCTCAGCTGACTAGTTTTGTAAAATTAAGCATTACAGAAATTAGACCTGAACAATGTAAACATATTTTATTATCAGTTTGTACCTTCACTGTAGAAAAAAAACTTAAAATCATTCCTGTGGAATATATGATTCTCAGTGGCATTATCAGATGATGAGTAGTGAGTTTGAAGAGGTAAAGCTGGGGCCAGAATACAGAAGGCTGTGAATGCCAATCTAATGGATGTGAACTTTATTTGGTATTCAGTGGCAGCCACTGAAAATTTTTCAGCAGAAAAATGAAAACTGATTTGGTTCTTGTAGCAGTGATGTGAGGAACAGAGCCACCTAAAGTTGAGTAAGATCAAGTGTGGGGTGTGAGGTAATAGTCTTTTACTAGGGTGATGGCCATGAATATATTTGGGAATGGATGCAACTAACATTTAAAGAATTGACAGAACTATGCTAGACATTAAGAATGGAGGGAAGCAAGCTGGTGACCACTAAGACTATGGGATCCCTGGCTGGAAAGGGAGAAGGCAGCTGTCCCTGATTAAAAGCTTACTATAAGAAACAAAGCCCAAACTAGAACTCTGATCTCAAGATTCCCCCTCCAATTCTTTCCATTATAGCTATTGCCTCATCTGGATGTTAGAGGTGATCTGAAAGACCATAAGCCTCAATGGGCAACTTGATATGACATAACACTCAGTTAAATTCCTTTCAGAATTCTTTTTTCTTAGACCCTGGTTATAATCCTAGCCCTTGGGCTAATGAGCTTCTGAGAAAATCATTTGCCTTTGACACCTCTTATGTTTTTATTCAACTTATATTTATCTTTCACTAATATTGCACATTTGTATTTCTTGTCTCCCACAATAAACTAATTTCTTTGAGGGTAGATACATACTATCTGGATATTTCTCCATTATTTATAATACTGAAGAAGTTTCTGTGTAAAAGGATGTCAAATTAATGTAAAAGAACCACCTGTTAAAAACAAAATAAATTGTTAATAAAAAACACAGACAGAACCTGAACTTTTTATGTTAATTTAGGCTAGAAGGGAAGCTCCTCTCCTGCCTTTTATTAAGCTTCTAATTACTTAGGAACATTAGCTAACATTAGTAAGTACTTAAGAGCCACAGCCATTCTACTTTATGACAAGAAAACATCCCATTTCATAGGAGAACCTTCCCCCAGGCTTTCCTTCATCCTTCTTAGCAAGATTTCATGTAGCAGCAATGAAGGGAAAAGGGGACCCTGAGAAACACCTTTCATTTTTAAAGTTAACACAAAGAATGGTTTGGTTTCTGTACTTTCACAGGAGAAAAATATTGTATGCTATATATTTATACTACATGCTTCCTCAACTTCTTGTGATTGATATTAGCAGTATGGAGTCCTCACTCCTGTGTAAACAACGCGCAGCACTTCAGGGCAGGCAGACAGCCCACAGAGGGAAGTTTTTGGAATCACAGTATTCTCCCTGCATAGCACTCAATTTCAGTTTAACCTCAAAGTTTTTGTTCCAGGAACTCTGGCTAGTTCTAGGAAGCACCAGCATACTCCTTTTAAGCCAGCAGAAGAAAAGCAGAACTAAGGAGGGAAGATAAGGAGATGTCATAGAACGAGAGAGTATAGAATATGATTAATAAAAATGGAGATGGCTTTTCTTATGTGGTTTGCAAAATGTCTTTGGAGGCAATTCCAAAAGAAAGGTTTTAAAAATGGTCTAAGTGATACTAGCATCACCACCGTAAATACCATGTTTCCTCAAAAATAAGACCTACCCATAAAATAAGCCCTAGCAGGATTTCTAAGTATTTGCGCAATATAAGCCCTACCCCGAAAATAAGACCTAGTGATGGGCATGGCTACACAGCGTATCTGCAGAACCCATGCATTTCATCATGGAGTGGTAAAGATGATGAGCAGCCCTTCTCATCTGCCCCATGAGAGCTTTATTGCTCGACATGACAGGTCGGGGCCAATAGTTATAAAGGAAGTAGAGCAGTAAGAAATTCAGGATGGGATTCAGGGTTTGGAGAGTTATGATGGTGTTCCAGAAGAAGACAACTTAACTACATTTGAATAAATGTAGATTGTTGTGCCATACTTAAAAAAAATAACACATCCCCTGAAAATAAACCCTAGGGTATCTTCTTGAGGAAAAATAAATATAAGACCCTGTCTTACTTTCAGGGAAACACAGTACATGTCTTCCCAAGGGTATCATTTTAAAGGATAATAATAATTTGGTTGTATATAATAAATTTGTCTTTAAAAAGCATTAAAGTTTATTTTAAAATTATATCAAAAGCATTGTTTAAACAATGGTTATGACCAATGAATATGAGAACATATGTAGGATGTGTGGGTGGGATTGAAACACTTTCAATCTTATAGTCTAAGGACCATATTCAGCACTATGTACTTCTGCATGAGCCACCATTAAAAATTTGGAGGCTGCTGGACACTTGGTGAGGAATCAGAAGTCTTTAAAAAAGTTAAATGAGTGGTACATGTAGTTTCAAAGCCTGTTTGGGTAAAGCAGAACAGGTGACCCATCTCACTTTTATGTAGACAGGCAGCACAGTATGACAGAAATAGAATACCTTTTGTAGCTCAATAGACCTAGTTAACATCCTGCCTTCACCCCTTTGTAGCTGAATAAGCCCCTCAAAGTATTTAATTCCACTGAAGCTCTGTTTCCTTGTAAAATGCTGGATGAAGTGCCTGGCAAACAGAAGATATTTACTAAATATCAGTTCCTTTGTGAGGGTGGGTTTTTCAAACTAAGGGTCACAACCCATTAGCAGATTATTAAATCAATTTAGTGGGTTTTGCAACTGGCTTTTTTAAGAACTGATCAAGAGAACAAAAAAATCAGAATGTACTGCACATAATGGTATGTATTGTTTCATTATGCATATTGAGGTTTGATATAAATGCATTTTTTACTGTGGGTTACAGCCAAAAAGCTTCAAAGTCTCTGTTCTACAGAGAAATTCTGATTATTATGTCAAAAAACTTCTTAGGAGTGGTGCCTTTATCCAAATGAGCCCCTATACATTTTAAGACCTTAATCAGCATTCCTCTTCCTTCTAACTTCTTGCAGCAAAAATAAGACATGAATCAGAAGATAAATTTGATTTGATACTGCAGGACATTAAATTCAATTTTAAGATTGGTTTCTGTGTCATACTGACTAATTTATACTTTATAAGCACTATATTTCATTTATAGTTGATTAAACACTTCTAGCAATTTCTACAAAAAAGTTGGCTATTAGGTTCTATTAGGGAAAAGAGATACAATTTCTAAATAATCTTAACTTATAAACTTTTTTTTTTTTTTGAGATAGTGTTTTGCTCTGTAGCCCTGGCTAGAGTGCAGTGGTGTTATCCTAGCTCACTGGAATCTCAAACTCCTGGGCTCAAGCAATCCTCGTGCCTCAGCCTCCCAAGTAGCTGGGACTACAGGCGAGTGCCACCACGCCCGGCTAATTTTTCTATTTTTTGTAGAAACGGGGTCTCACTCTTGCTCAGGCTGGTAACTCCCGAGCTCAAGCGATCCTCTTGCCTCAGCCGCCCAGAGTGCTAAGATTACGGGCATGAGCCACTGTGCCCAGTCAAGTTATAAAACTTTTCAAAAGGACTATAACTTGCCTAAGTGTGAAGACTGCTACAGTTAATATTCCAATCCCTATGGGCAGTAAGAGTCAAAGGTTTGTAAGAGTACATACACACATCAGTGTTTCACACTGGCATAGTAAAAAATGAAAATTCCCCAAAATATGAGTTTCAAATACAAGCCTTTCTCCTTCAGGTCCTTATGTAGACCAGCCTTATATTATAATATGAGTCCCCTGTGCTGCCGCTAAGATGGTGGGCTGAAAGGGTAGCCAATTTGGGGTTGGCAGAGTGGGGTAATATGCAGTAATGGAGAAGGGCAAAATACCGGAAATTAAGAATTAAATGATGAATCTTGATATCTTAAACTTAGTTTTAGCTGACTAGGCCAGACTATATCAGAATCACCCTAGAACTCAGGTTTAAGAATCTTATTTTATATAAGCACCTGAGTTCTGATCCTCATTCAGGTTTGAACACCCTGTGTTAAAGAGACACCAACGACCAGAAAATGGAAAAAAGACATGATCCAAAAGTAATCATCCCAACTTTACAAATATCCAATATGAGATACTGGTTCAGAATCTGACACTTACTCAAAGTATTTCCTTTCTTGGTATTATATTAAAGATATAGATCAGCAGATAGCAATATTCAATACTTCCTAGTTATTTAATGATAAATGGTGCTTTGTCTCATTGGAATTCATTGGTGAGATTCAAAAAGTATGAAAGAGAAAGGTCTCTTTAGATTAGACACAGAAGTGAAAAGTAGCAATCAATAAAAGTTATTAAAAGTAAACTCAGCAAGAGAGAAGCTAAGTGATAAACCATTCAATCCCATGATGAACGCTGGCTCCTGACAGAAACAGTTTACACCTTCTGGGGTGCAGGTGCCAATTCCTGTCTTCAGAAAAGAGTAAAGAGTAAGGCAAAAAGTGGTTCCTTCCTATTTCAAATTAGTTGAGGTACAGAGGGGAAGCTACCTGTATTCTTAAATTCTTTTTCCTAAATTTAAAGCCTTTCTGCAATTTGAGATAGACGTGGGGTGGGGCTGGATGAGGCTTGCTGTCCATATTAAATGTTGGGATTAGCACCACAAACTGTTCACTGGGTCTGAGTCTTGGCACTGGGCTTCGTCCATCATCATCCAGACTGTGAGAAAAGGTAAGTATGAATGCTATTGTTGGGAAGAAATAGCAGCTGTGAAAAGCAAAAGGAAGCACAGGAGATAAAGAACCTGGGAAAAAGGATGGTAGTAACAGAAGTGAGGTAGATAGCCAGTTCTTAGCTCCCCCAAAGACCAGCTGAAAAGCCTTTGGGTCAGAGACCCGCTGTGTGGCAGATATATCGCCCCTCAAAATTGGAAGATGCCCCAGGAAATGGTCTCCTGTCTTGCCCCTACTCCCATTTGAGCTCAAACTCTAACAATGTTGGAAATATCTGGAAATTTCTTTTTCTTTCTTTTTTTACCTAGACTTTACAGGAAGGATGAACAGAGATGGGAGATAAGACAAAAAAGACAATGAGAAAAGTCCTTATTACATATGGATAGAGTTCACCCCACAAACCAAAAAACTTTTCAAAATTACAAGGGAGGGACAGCAAAGGACACTAGATCTTTGAGGTGTCAGGAAACAGGTAGACAGAGCAAGCTTGGTGACTGGCTTAATAAGTCTCCTACCACTTGAAATTCTGTGTTCTTTATTTAAAGAGAGGCAGAGGAAGAGCTCAGAAAAGAAGCCACTGTCACAAATGAAGATATTTGAAAGAGAAGTTGGGCCTCTCTTTCCATTTTCTTATACTATTAATTTCTTTCACCAGAAAATATAGTTGGATCAAATTGCAACAGGGCTCATCTAATGACTCCATTATGCAGTTCACCTGTGCTTCTTACTAGGTTCTCATTTCCCTATCTGATAACAAAGGCTCCTGAACTCCCATTCTTTTCCTTGCTAACAGGCCTAAATAATCTACAAATACACCTTAAGGTCTCTAACTCAGGGTTGTGGAAGCAACTATTCCACCATAAGCTAACACTTCCACACATCTCAAGACCTTATCTGAGTCATAGGTTCAATTCTCACATTTCCAGGCAGAAAATTTGCTCCTTGGCAGTCTTCAAACTTTGCCTGACAGACATTATACACCTTCAGCCCAGGATCCTCAATCTCTAACATCTCCATTAACACTCCAGCAAACAACAAAATATATCCACTTATCACAGTTCAATCCCACTTGAGCATTTACAGCCACTCTCTTGATAGACTTGTGTTCCAAAAGCTGACTGAGTGTCCAATAGCAGCAAAGGTTTTCATTAGGATAGACATGTTGGCACCAATAATACCAAAGTTTGGTTTTTAACTACATTTTTTGTCAGTTTGGCTGGGAAGATCTGGACAGCTGGAAGTGAGCTTCTCCATCATTTTCTGTTTCTTTCTTTGTATCAATTTTCCACCTGTGAAGCCCAACACCCCACCACCAAGTGCAGCTGCAATTCCTGCCACTTTGAAGCCTGCAAGGAGGCCAATAGGACCCCCCACTGCTCCTCCGATGAGTGCACCTGCCACAGGCAGAGCTGCCAGCTTGTATTTTGCAGCCTGTAAAAAAAAAAAATTCAATTTAGAAATTGAGTTGAGAATATCTGCCTGTGGTGATGTGCATTTTCCTCTCATTACTCCTGGCAATGCCTCTTTAACTCTTGGTACATAATTAACCTTAGAGATTGTACTTGGTCGGGGGGCTGGGGAGAGAAGGTATTCCACAGGTACTGCAATTGCTCCAGATCTCAGAACTTAGAGAACTGAGCTACAAAGAGTGGACTGCTACAAATTGATTTTACTTGCAAAACAATCAATCCACTAACTATCTAGCTGGCTTATTTAAACAGTTTCAGCAGCCACAGATCCCCCCAAAGCTTTTATGTTACACAGAGATTATTCTGTGCTTTGTGCCTGGGGTTAAAAGCAACATCCTATGGAAAATAGATGGTCCCACTCCATGTGTGCTGTCACATACTTACACTTTTACCCTCACTGGATTCTTGCAACCCTCTCTTATTCCTCTCTCTGAACCTCTGCAAATATTCCCTTGTCACACCAAATGCCTTATAGTGGGCAATAGTCTATTCTCTCTTTGAAGAAATGTCTCTCCTGATAGAATGAATCTTAGAGTAGAATATTACAATCATTGATTGCTTGCACTACCTGTGTGTCATTTCTTCCTTATTTCCTTAATTGCTGGTTCCCTCAACATTGAAGAGAGCAGATCAATTGGGTTAATACTAGAGATTCCTGCGAGCCAGAGTACCATTGATTTGTCAGCAGGAGCAGAATCTTACCTTCCCCAAGTTTTTGGTTCCCTCTTCAACATTCACAGCAGCACTGTTGACATGGTCTGCAATGCTGTCAATCTTCTCCTGCTGAGACTAGATGCAAAGGAATTATGAGTGAGCGTTCCTGCTGGGGAGCAGCAGGGAGCCAACACACACTATTTTAATTCCTATAATCAGGGCCCCGGGTACTGCAGCCTTGCCATCTTAATAGTGGTTCATTAATAGCATCTGATAAACCAGGTCGAAAGGACAAATTCACTTTCATGAAAAAAAGGGGGGACTTAATTATTAGGTAATAAAAGGGTGGCAACTTTACAGCAAAAAGCATCTCACACTAAAATTCATTCAAATGTACAAACATATTATTCTCCAAATGAATCTACTTTCCAGGAGAAAAAAAAATCTAAATAAGCATTTACACATCATGTTGGGTTTGGTAGAAAAAAACAAAAACAAAATCAAACCAAAAAACCTACCCCTCTAACTTATCTTTTTTGAAGATTCAGTTTGAAATAGTCAAATTTACCTTAGCAGTAAAATGCCCTTGATCCAATAAATACAAATTGTTATGTTTTAGGAATAAGACTACAATATGGTTTGATCTATTATGAAAATCTTTCCACTTGTGATATATGGTAGGGAGCAGTGAATGAATTTACTGTTCTGTGTTTTACACCTGTGTATTTTAATACATTTTAAAATCATGACAAGTTAAAATGTTTCACATCAAATATATTAATAGAGCTTTCTATATAATATGGCAACACCTGTGCTGGCACAACAGAAACTGACTCACAGAATCCCTGAGTAGAAGGAATGTTGAGGTCATCAGGTGCAATTCTCTTCTCTGATATGTGAAGCCCCACTATGACATTTCTGACAAGCAGTTACTGAACCTCTGCTCAAATACCTCCAGTGACAAGAACTCATTACTTGCCAGAGGAACACATTCTCCTTTATAAGTAAACTTTATTTAGATAGAATTTACATACAATAATATGTATTCATTTTAACAGTACAGTATGATGAGTTTTAACAAATGTATAAACCCATGTAAACAACCATCACAATCAGTACATATATGATTTTAGTTTTGTTTTATTCATTTGCAGAAAAAAGAGGAGAATCTCTTTTTGATACCAGATAAATGCCACCTTCTACAATGAGTGTGATATAATTCAACGTTAATCCTGAAGTATTTGATTGCCCTTACATAATTAACCTACTCATTTATATTGAGGTAGACATAAATAACACTCTTCTAATTCCAACTATCATTTCACGTGGGAACATGAAGCCTAAACAACACAGCTGATTTTTTCCCACAGTTGTTTCCTATTAGCATATAGACATTCCTTCCCATATCATGTACCTTTTCACTATTAGGCCTTTTATGGTATCTCTTCATTCCAATATTTTCCACCACTATTCCTAAAACAATCCCTAAAAACCTCCCTTGTCAGTTTTCCTTTGAGTGTCTTTGTCAGAGACAAGTACAATGGTTCTCAAACTTGAGCATGCAAGGCTCGCTTTGGAGGGAGCCAATCACCTGAGAGCTGCTTAAAACACTGATTGCTGAGCCCCACCTCCAGAGCTTCTGAGTCAGTAGGCCTAAAGTGAAGTTTGAGAATTTGCATTCCTAATAATTTCCAGATGATGCTGATACTGCCAGTACATAATTCTCACAAGAACCACTATTATATATAATAAGATTAAGGGTACAACCTTTGGTTGGATATTCTGTGTTCAAATCTAGCATGGCCACCATGTGCCCTTGAACAAATTACTCAAGTTCTCTGGGTGTCAGTATTTGCATTTGTCAAATGGGGATAATGATACTTATACCATCAGAGAGTTGAAGTGAAGATAAAAGGAGATATCAACACAGTATGAGGGGAAAAATAGAAAAACTCGTCTTGATATCCCCAAAAAAGTGTTAACTCTCATCTTTCTATCAAAAAATATATTAAACTTTTCCCTATGATGCTTGAAAATTCTAAGACACTAACACATTAGCTCTTCCCTAGCATTCATTCATTCATTCAATTTTTATTTTCCTCAGACAGTAAAACTTCTTTAATTCAGCTTTCTTTTTCTGACCCATAGAAGCAAAAGTGCCAGCACTAATATAATATCCCATTTGTCTGGATTTCTGACACTCTATCGTTTCTATTTGGAACACCCCTAACACTTTCTACTCTTCCCTGAAACAGTCTATGCTAGCAGATAAATCACAGGCTTAAAACTCTACCATCAACCTTCATTTCTTGGTGAGTTGAGGGGTAAAGGAAAATAGAAAGGTGTCTCCCTTCCCTCAGCCCAAAAATAATTCCAACAAGAGGGAGGAGCCTGCCCAGATTACTGCCATTTACATACCCCAAGTATAATCTCAAGGCCTCAGAGAAATATTTTTTAATGCTACTTCCTAAAAAAGTTGACTATTGTAGCTCTATGACTCTTTTTTTTTAAAGTGAATTTCTTTTTTTTTTGAGACTGAGTCTTACTCTGTTGCCCCAGCTAGAGTGCAGTGGTATCAGCCTAGCTCACAGCAACCTCAAATAAAGTGAAATTTTATAATAATAAATAATTTTAATTTTTTTTTTCACAAAAATCCTTTGCAATAATTGAAGACAAGACCATAAGAAAACACCAATCCTGGGATCAATGATTATTTGACCTATAATGCCACTCCACCATCACTGTAATCACTAGCACTTGATGAGGCCCAGCTCACCCTGGGGAGTAGCCCACATCTCTAAGTACTTTTTCACTGACATCAGGAAGGTTGCTTAAACATGGGGCTGGGCCAGGGGGATAAAGCAGAGAGCAGACAGCCCCTACCCTGGGATCAACAGTCATCCCTCAGTTGTGCAGGTCTGCTTTCCTCTTCCCCTTATTTTGCTTGGCTGAATTCCTCTTCAAATTCTGCTTCTTGAGTAAGGCCTCGATGACACTCACAAAGACTATGGTTGGGCAGCAAACTGCTGTACAGAGTTGTTAATCACTAACAATAGAAATCCACATTAGACTCCACTCAAAGCTGACCCAGGTCATCACTTGCTCTGGGTACCTGACTCTTTATGTTGGGCCAAACTGTCCATATACAACCTTGTCCCAGACTATGAAGCCAAGCTCCTAACAATAATGGAGCCTCATCCCCTCTATCTACCAATCTCCCCTTTTGCCCCAATTTGCTCATGTTTGTTTTCATCTGCCTAGGCCCCCCACATATGACAATCTTCAAAATCTCTGCCTGACATTTTATAGTTTGATACCCCATATATGTCCTCAGCATCCCTTTAAGAATAAGCTAAAACCATTTATGAGAGACAGTGCAGTGTTTCTCAAACTAGAGTAATGAATAGACCCCTTTGTAAAGAAAATTCTCAAAAGACTAAGAACATGTCAATAGATTTTTCTTAAAGTTGAATTAGCCCTATTGAACTGAAAATAAATCTTGATGAGCAGTTATAGGAGCATATAAGTTTTTAAAGAAAATGTGATTTTGCTGGGCATTGTGGCTCAAGCCTATAATCTCAGCACTTTGGAAGGCTGAGGTGGGAGGGTCACTTGAAGCCAGGAGTTTGAGACCAGCCTATGTAATATAGCGAGACCTTATTCCTACAAAATATTTAAAAAGTAGCAGGGCATGGTGTCATGCGCTTGTAAGTCCGAGCCACTTGGGAGGCTGAGGCAGGAGGATAACTTGAAGCTAGGAATTTAAGGTTATATTACGCTATGATCAGGCCACTGTAGTCCAGCCAGGGTGACAGAGTAAGACCTTGTCTTAAAAAAAAAGAAATGTGATTTATTAAATTATTACTAAGTTAATACTTATCAAAGGAATGCAATTCGGGCAGATGAATTAAAAACTAATGAATTGTTTTCCTTGAATGCCTGTTGTGGACACTTGTAGCACCCTCAATATCAAGTAATAGTAATCCATTCAACAAATTCATCCCCAAATCCATGTACATCAATAATAATGCTCTTCCTTGGAGAGTTTTGACAGTAGTTATGCAGTTTTATTAATAATGTTCTTATAAAGATATGAGTTTCCTTAAGAAGATAATGCCAAAACTCCTGGTATTTTCCTTTATTCCTTTCTAAATTCCAGCCAGCCTTTAAGGCAAACTTCTAGTTTAGATCTTCTAGTCATAGATCTTAACCAATCCAATTAAAACTGAGTTATCCTGCTTCTAAACTCCTATGGTATAGAACATGTACTCCTTAATCACATGCAATCATATACACAGAAAAGCCCAGAAACGAACTTACAAACACTATAATATATAGGCAGAGTAAAGGATTGTATTGGCCTAGAGTAGGCAGTAAGCAGAGTAGATAAGATGGATGTTGACAACAGAGGATTCAGCAGTTGGAAAGGAATTGGAAGAACTCCAGTACTAAAATGCCTAAAGGTAATAATGATGGTGGCAAAAGTAGAATTTTATGCAAGAAGCCAAGGAGGGACTTGAATAAAGGAAAGGACAAAAACAGGAGTGCAGCTGAGGGCCGTGGAAGGGAAAAGAATGGGAAGTAACAGACATCTCATCTCATTTAGCCCTCCCACCAAAAGCTCATTGTTGTCAAATAACATCCTTAAGGTCACATAGCTAATACATAGAGGGATCTAATCTAATCCATTGCAACCCTATTTTTATACATCTAGAGTAAAATTGGATTACAAAAGCCATAGGGAATAAGGCAAAAGGTAGAAGTCAAAACAGGACCAGGAACAAGGGTGAGATGCTGCTGAACTTCTGGCCCAGGATTTTTAAAATTTCTTTTGACCAGAAAGAGGGCTAGTTACAAAGTTAAAAAAGAGGAGAGGGCAATTTGAGCAATAAAGCTTGAAGAAAAATAGAGCAGGTGCCTCGTAGATACTAATTTGTTAACATTTATTGAACTATACCTTGGTCTCTCAATGACTTTATAAGTTCTTTTTATTGTGGTAAAATATATATAACTTAAATTTACCATTTTAACCATTTTAAGTGTACAATTTAGTGGCAATAAGAATATTCACAATGTTGTGCAACCATTTACCACTATCTTACAGGTTCTTTTTTATACTATTTTCTATTCTTCATTGAGCTTAGCACAGTGCTTATGCATATAGAAAGTGCTCCTTAAATACATGGTTAATTTGCCTAGATACTATCATGTCCATGTGATGATAATGACAGGATGTGGTCACTCTGGTTATGTTCCCAGGTCATTCTGTACCTAAATGGAGCTTCTGTAAGTCGTTGGCCATGTGGTCATGAGAACTCAGTCACTCTGGGAATAATAATCAGGGGTTCTCCTTTGAGCTTTTGCTTAATAGCATTCTGTCTCATGTCCTTACTCAGATTATAATAAATAGGACATTTGTATAAAGCTATGGCTGTAGCCAGAATCTTCCTACACATATCTTCATTAGATTAGGGGTTAAGAGTTGCTTACATAACTTAAACATGTAACTATCAAATGGCCACAATCCCTTAATTTTCTTTTCATGTGCCTACCCCACTGAAAGGGAAATGTATTTGCCTTGAGTGAGAAAAACTTTGTACATGTTTAGTTTTTTTAAAATCAACTTTATTGAGGTATAATTTACAAACATTAAAACACATTTTAAGTGTACAGATTGATGACTTTTGGTAAATGTATATATTTATGTAACCATACCTGTATAGATTTAACAAACTGCATTAGATTCAGAGATTATTACAATAACTGAATAAATCTTGATCCTAAAAACAAAAGATATTTGGGGATTCATGTTCTATCGTTCCCTTCTATCAACGAATATATAATAGATTGTACATATATCTAATCCAGAGAATTCAAACATTTTGCTTCTTCTGACTTAGAGGCATCAGAAACAATTCAAACAATTTACTGCATACAATTTTAGATATTATATTTCAAGAAAATATCCATAAACTAGAAAATAAGCAGAGTAAGTAGCCAGTACTGAAAAGCCTAGAAATCATATTGCAGGAGGAACACAAAAGAATCATGTATTCTTAAGAGTAGATGGTGGATGGGATAGAGTAAAGAAAGATATCAGTTTCAAAACCTTGAAAAACTTCTATATGGAAAAAAGACAAAACTTGTTCAGTATGTGGCTCTAGGGGGCAAAAGTACCGAAAAGAAGCTATTGTAGGGCTTAGTTTACATAACAAAGAACTTCTAAGAGTTACAGCCTCCCAATGGAATGGTTGAAGTATCAAGTGTCTCTTATAATTGTTCAAAAAGAAGCTAAAAGACCATTTATGTGAGAAACTGGGGCAAGAATAGAACGATTGGGTTAGTTGGCCTCTTAAGTCCTTTCCCATTCTAATTCTTAGACTATGTGATCTAGGAACTTCTAATTTAAAACCAGATCTCAGGGAAACCATAACTCAAAGATGGACAAACCCAAAATCTTGGTTTGATCAAGAATAAACCTAGACAGATACATAAGTATAAACAGGCTTGTGCCTGTGTGGACATACATACATACATACATGCATACCTATAAACACACATACTCATATAACCCACCATCCCATAATTCCTGAGAAGAAAAAGTAAGAACAATTTAGAAAAATATTGATAGAACATCTATTCTATCATTCTCACCAAATCTATTTTCTGCTCCCTAATCTGTTAACAGTATCATCTGTACCTGATCTTTCTGAAGCACAGACTGGATTATATGACTCGAACCTGCTCAAAAATCTATATTGGCTCCTTAATGCCTACAAAGTAAAGTTCAAATTCTTAAGTATGGCATTCAATGCCATCACAATCTGACTCTCACCCTCCTTGTTTGCCCATGGTACCTCATACTTTGGTTATACTGTAGTACTTGTCATTCTGGAATGGGCCACACACTTGTCTATTCCATGTCTTTGTTCTCAAATGCACCCTCTTAATCCCACCTGTGGACATTTACTCATTTTTCAAGGCTCATGCAAATGCTGCCTACCTGTATTGAGCTATCTTTAATGCCTTCACCTCACAACCCCTTGGAATTAAATGCTTCTCCTTGGAACTGATAATACCTTAATAACTTATTTTTGCACTCAGCCATCATACTTAAAAGCTCAGTTTTGGGGGTCCATGCCTATTGCCACTCACTGTAGAATCCCCAAAGGCAGAGGGCAGGCTTCATTTATTTCTATATCCAACCTTGTCAAACCCTTAACTCAGGGGTCCTCAAACTTTTTAAACAGGGGGCCAATCCACTGTCCCTTAGACCATTGGAGAGTGCGCATGGTGGACCTGGGATGAGTCAGCTGCTAAACAGGACAGGTAGTGGTGGCAAAAACACCCTGAGGGCCAGATAAATGTGCTAGGCAGCCCACATGTGGCCCTCAGGCCATAGTTTGAGGATACCTGCCTTAATGCCAAGCATCTAACACAGTGTCTTTTACATAACAAGTGCTCACCAAATGTTTATTAAATTGATCTAGAATTTGAGGAAAGTTAGACTTCTATCCACGGCTCAATACCAGTCTTAAAAATTATAACTTCTATTAAAATTCTAATCAAAAGCCTAGTGATTGATAAAAACCTCTCATTCTAATAATCTAACAATTATGAGCCAAAAATAGGCATATACTCACATTTACTAGGAGAGAGAAATCAGTGACCAGTTGGTTAAGTTCAATTAAGTCCTTAAAAAGAGAGAGAGAGAGAGGAAATTACTTATTTTTATATCTCATACCTACCAAAAATAAAAAAATTTTTAACATACCGCTTCTAAGGTTTCCCATGATTCTGCAGCATTTTGATCTCGAGGAATTTCAGGCAATGCGGTTATCTGAGTCAGACTCTGAGAACTAGCTTCAGCTTCAGTAGTATGAAATGTTCCTGGATGAACATAGTCCCATGTTTAGAGTTTATTTGCTTTGTTATAAAGGAGACAGCATAAGTCAATTCCATAAAATAACTGTCATGTAAAATGCTTTACTAATTAAATTCAGGCTAAAAGTAAATTGATCACTCTATAAAAAACAGAATTATTTATCTATGGGCAGCTTTTCTCGCAAGTTAGTAAACACAAGTTTTTCTTTATCTACAAAGTCATCTAAAAAATGGCTACAAATACTATCTATCGAATCTGAATAACTAGGGCTAGATATGGAAGAAATATCCAAAAGAAAACTATTCTATTTGGCCAATGTCCAGTGAAAAGATACCCAGTATAAATAGGTTTCACACTTTTCATTGATAAATTCTTAAGTTTTTATTTGGCTATTCTAGTAATAAATATCAGATACAAAAGGTGTTGAAAGTAGAGCAGCATGGAGTGCTATGTAAGCATGGAAGAGAGGTATTTAACTTAGACTTGAAGAGGGTAGAGTGGTCAGAGAAGGTTCTGAAACTGAAGCCTGAGGATGGACAGAAATTATTATATAGGTGAACTAGGACAGGGGTAGAGGAGAAGCAAAGAGTTTTCAGGTCAGGGAGAACTATGTGTGCATAGGATATTTAGTATAGTTGACACATAGACTATCACAAGGAGAAAAGCAAAGATTGAGGCTGGAAATCTAAACAGATTATTCATGGCATTGTGAACTATTAAAGTTAAAGAATTTGGTCTTTCTCATAAGATCAATATGTTACTGTTTAAAAGAGTTATTGAGATTATTAGGAAGTTGCTATAATCATATTTTAGATTTAGAAAGGAAATTTCAATCACATCAATCTAGAAATCAAGGAGGGAGTTGAAAGGTGAGAAGATTAGAGAGTGAAAAACCAGTTGGGAGGCTTCCCAATATGTCCGGTGCAAAATAATGATGATCCATTTTAGGATAGTGACAGTTGAAATGGAAAGAAGAAATCTTAAGGTCTACTTTTTTCCTTTCACTTCAAGCTCAAAACACCCACCACTTACATTTTCTGAACACCCATTATGTATTATGTTAGGTACCAGTGACAAAAAAGTAAACAATACAGAGTATCTGCTCTCGAGGAATTTATATTCTAGAAGAAGCAGACATACTAAGAGACAATCATAAAACAATTGGAGAGTGCCTTGATATCCATCTATCTAGATAAACGGATATATAGAGTATTTTACAGGAGTTCAAAGCTGGTGGCATCTGATATGGCTTGATATTGTGTGCAGTTTATGGGAAGGCTTGCTAGAAAAGTTGATGTTACTAGGCAAAGAAGAGAGGAATATAAATTCTAGGTTGAAAAGCCGGCATGAACAAAGGCACTCAAGGAAGAAACAATGCAGCTAACTTAAAATCATCACTTTGGTGTTACCAAAGTGTGAAGTAAAAGATGCAGAGTTACAAGCATAAGATACTATAGATGGTTAGGAGGGACCTTTTAGACCAGTTAAAGACTTCAGACATTATCAGGCAAACAATGGAGGGCTGCTGAAGGGTTATAAGCAGGGAAATGACATGGTGACATGTGACACCTGATCTATTCCTAAAAATAAGCCATCATAACTCCAAATTCATATTCTCGCTCATTCAACCAAACCTGTATTTGAATGGTATTTTATAAAACTGCACTAGTATTTTACCTTCAAAGTTTATGAACACTTTATTTCTTAAGGAAAAATTTGTTTGAATTGTTTAAGAAGGGCATAAACTAATCTGTATGTTTATCAGAACCTACATTGTTCTTTTAATTTTAAATCTTGGCTAGGCATGGTGGCTCACACCCATAAGCCCAGCACTTTGGGAGGTCCATATGGGAAGATCACTTGAGGCCAGAAATTTGGGACCAGCCTGGGCAACGTGGTGAGACCCTGTCTCTACAAAAAAATTCTAAAAATTAGCTGGCCATGGTGGTGTGTGCCTGTAGTCCTATCTACTTGGGAGGCTGAGACAGGAGAATTACTTGAGCCCAGGAGTTCAAGGCTGCAATGAGCTGTGACTGCACCACTGCACTCCAGCCTGGACAACAGAGTAAGACATCATCTCTTAAAAAAATAAATTAATTAAAAAATAAATATCTGAATATATTTAACTTGATGAGTAAAAACATCAGATATACAGTTAAGTTTTATATTACAACATTATGGCAAATATTCAACATTTTAAAAGCTCTCAATGATTTTTACAAATGTTTAAAATAGTTATTTACCCTATACCCTAAGTTATTACCATAAAACTGTTTTCATTTTCATGTCAACCAAGACAAATTAATCTGTGACCTTTCTTCCATTTAATATTCCTTAATATACTTTAATTTCTTTAATATTATTATGAATAAAGATAACTTTATTATCATTAATAGACCAAGTATAAAGTAGAAATTTATAACCATGCCCACTCTAAAGATTTTTTTAAGTCATAATATATGTACTATTAAAAGAGATTCAAAGGAAGTATGTGAGGGTGTACAACAAAACAAAGAGAGATTATCATATATAAATTCTTTGTCTAAAAAATAAGGGATGAGAAATGTTTGACATTTTAAACAAACATAAAAGATTTCCCTCAGTAAACAATAAGACATGTTTAAGTCACTTACGTCTCACTAGAAACCAAACTGCGTATGTATCTTAGTTCAAATAGAGTTTAGAACAAAGAAGTCTGTTCTCTTCCATAGGAAACTCTGCTGTAAACTTACAACTCTGGACATCACTGATCAATCCAAAGCATGACTATCAATTAAGAAAGCAAATCTTTTAATTTCTACAACTTCCATAATTCATTTATTACAGCTTACATTAAAAATCACTACCTTAGTGATCGCCCTTTGACTTTGAACTTTTACAAACTGCTGTGGACATGATGAAGCAAAACACTAAGACAGATTATAGCTACAGGAAAAGAAGGCTAAAGAACTTTAGCCCGTCCACAGAAGTCCAAAACTGTAACTGTTTCATACTACATAATAATTTCAGATAGTTCCACCCCCATACAAACAGCTGTAAGCACATAGGGCAAGTAGAATAAAGTATGTATCATTTACCACTGTTTTTCAAACTCTAGAATTGGTTTTTAAACCTTATAATTGGCTATAAACTCAAAATTAAGATAGCTGGCTCACCTTAGTTGAAAAAATAAGCTAAACAACATGGATATAAGACTTTTTTTTTTTATATATATATCCAAATATTCTCTCCCTCTTTCTTTCTCCATACTTCATGGACAAAATGATTCTACCCAGAATTACATAACACAATATCTAAGAAAATTTTCACTACACTTTATTTACTATATTAGAAAAAATTTCATTATAAATCTAAATTAATTCAAAAGTATTTCTTACATTTTTTTCAAGTTCAGGCAGTTTTAAAAGTAGTAAAATTAATTTACTGATCATCTATATACACCTATCTATCAAAGTAAAATAACTTCTAAGTCATGGCTTAACTTAGCTGCAAAGGAAGACTTTTAAGAAAATTAAAAGCAATAGAAAATACATCTTCTGAAACATACAATATAAAACTATCTACATGTTTCACAAAACTGTTCAGTACATGTATATACCTGTGATAAAAATCTAATATTTCATCAATTCAACATGCTGCTCTGAAGTTCCCAGCAGTTTTAAGATTGGATTCTTTTCTTTTGTGAATATTTGTTTAAAATGTAATAAGATTCTGTTCCTATTGGGCTGCTGAAGTGTGTGTCCTGGGAGTAAAGAAAGACAAAGATGGAGAGAAGCACAGATTTCACTCTGTATGACTTGAATCACCTTTCTAAATACAAATCTGATTTGTAGGCTCATCACTTTTCTTGGTGGGAAGCAATATGCTACAAATGAAACCATACACAGGTGAGACAGAAGGGAGTTTCTCAGATCAAACAAGATTGGCAAAGATTTGCTTTAGGAACTCTCAGAATTTGAACAAAAGAAACAGCAAAATCATCACAGCTTCCCCATAAACTTAATAAGCTTCTTTCATTCTCCGGAAAACATAAAACATCCTATTCTACTTGTTATTTCTATCTGTAAATGAAAAACTATTTTTGTATTTTTGATCTCACTCATGGAAATGTAGTAACATTGCTCCTGAATCTCTGCTGATGTTTTCAACCAATTTATTCAGAATCTGATTGAACTAAAGGAAAAAGTATTTTAAGGCACTTAACTTCTATGCAAATAAAATGCATTTTTTGTATAGGCTGTTCCTACTATATTGAGTATCTAAAGGAAAAATAAGGAAAAACCAGAGAGCATGAGATAAAAACATGTAGAATGACAAATAAGAGTCTACAGCTAGACCACCACATACGGAACAAACCCAATTCCTACCCCACTATTATGTAAATTATTTACTTGCTTTCTTTTCATTTTCTTTCCTATCCTTTGGGTTGTTAATAATATTTCCAGATTTAAGGCAATACAGTAGAAATTCTTACACTTGGTGAAATACTCAGGCACTTGCTGAGACAGTAATTTTTTAAAGGCTTTAAGTTGGCAATTTTTCATAGTCAAAGCACAATGTAACTAGCAGATTATTCAGAATTTGAAATTCTACATACTGTTTTAGGTTTATCTGAGGTATATGACTTTATAAATAGAATGACTGTCTTAATGAAATCAGCACTAGTTTCGGAGATTTAATTTTGTGCTTTTTCTCCCAGGTCTTTAGCCTATTCAGTGTTCCATGAATTGAGAAGTTTGAGAATTAAGAGAGTTGGAAAATGAATTTCAATTGCTATTTCTTCTCCCTCATCTTCTGGCTCTATTCCAGTCTTTTTCAGTCTTTTTCCATACACAGGCTTTCTCCAATTCAGTCAACCTTTCTTTTCTTTCTTTTGTTTATACTAGTCAGCTTCCTATGGAGAAAGTTAATTGCCAGTAAACTGGGTAAACTGCCTACTTCTTATAATCACCCAATTCCTCTGATGATATATAAACCCAAATTTGTAGAGTCCAAACAGTTCTACTGGTAGAAACACAAATAATGCAATAATAAAATGCAAATTAAAGCAAGTATTAGAATATTATTATATTATGAGAAAACGCTTGAATACAACTCAAAATTTTTGTTTGACAGGGAATTACTGGTCATGGGCAATTCAAAGCAAAATAGCAAAAGAGACTGATGCCAGCTACTCTTTCAAGAAAATGCAGCTTATCTTCACTGTTATCAGAGCCATCACAACTGTCACAATGTCTGGGTACATAAGATGTTCCCTTAATCACACAGAACTAGAAAGCCCAGTTTCTCTACATATGCACATTAAGCTTCAGTTTGCACTGAGAGATAAGAACAGCCTTCAACCTCGCCAATAAGCTAGTGATAACTATAGATGAACAGAATAATGAAAACAATAACTACAAACTCTCACAAAGCTTTCTTTCCAAATATTCTTCAACCAAGGGTTGAGTGCTAACATTTCCTTCTCCTCAAAAGATTTTAGGTACTGATTATCCACAGAGTAAAGTGACTGCAGCACATCTGAAATTACAAAATCGTCTCTAAAAAGATACTTACTTATATTTATAAAACATTTATGAGTGGTCAACTATGTGCCAAGTATTATGCTAGCTACTAAGGATACCACAGAAGCAAGATTATCCAGAAACTCTTTTAATACTGGCCTAAATGTTTCTTCCAATATTTTTTTTTATTTCCTTGTAAATTATTGCATCATTAGCACTGAAAATTAAAAATTAAAAATAATCTGGCTTTGGAGATTGAGAGTGGTACAGGAGTGCCCTAGGTAAATAAAAAGAGAAAAACTGGGTAGGTATTAATATATCATCGCTAAGATTCTGTTATAATTTGTAATTTATTGATATCCCACCTTTTCCATAAGGACTAAAGGCAGCTTAGAAAGATTTACAAAATGTAACAAGATAAATTAAAAATAAAAGAGAAACACCAAAACAGAAAAGGAAAACAAGGGTAGCAGTTATAAAATAAAGCTAGGATAGTTAAAAAATTTGACTTTTGGTGGTTAAAAAATTTGACTTTATACTTTCTAGTAGACACCTCAGGTAGGGAAACTTTATCAATTATTCTATTCAATACCCATAAGACAAAGAAAGACCAACTACTTTGAAGTACTACTATGTATTAAGCTAAGAACTTTTTCAGGATTAAAGATATTATTATATTGTGATCAACAATTATCAATTATATCCTTAGAAGAGACATAATGACAAGTTTCACAGGGCTGTTTCTTAGAAGTTGACTTCATGACCCCCACCACAGATTTTTTAATGTTGTCAGTTATTCAGATAACTGGGCTGGGAGAAAGATCTAACATCTCTAATGAAAACCAAAATGCTTAAGAAAAAAGGCATGAAAGAATAGGTCACCCCTGCACCTGGAAAGGAGTGAAGAAAACTCTGTAGACAAGAATGACATTTTCCTTAGGAAACATTTAAAAATTTCTTTTCAATACATAAACAAATGGGTGTTTGAAGCTCTGAAGTTTTATTCCAGACAGCACAGCCTCAAAATTTTTATTCTACAAAATGTCCAGTACACATTTCCAGGTACAGTCAAGGTCCAAGGACACGGCATATTGGGAGAGCAGGAGATCTCTGAAAATCTCCAGATAATCTGTAATATCTACCCAATGAGGTCAGATTTAATTAACTGCATTACTATGATCAAGAATAAGAATTAGTATAATACATTACCACCAACAGTCATGGATCTGGTCAAAGAAGGCTGTAATAAAGTTTCTTCATCATTAAACTGTTTCTTAAGTTCTTCTACAGATTCCAAATGGAGTTGGAGAAATTTTGCTATTGCTGTTGAGGCTTCTTCTTTAACAGGATCTATCATTCTCTTCAGAAGTACTAGGTCATCCTGTTGGACTTTCAAACAAAGTTTCTCCATTTCTCGGATATTGGAGCGCAGTTGCTATAAAGGAAAAAAAATATCAATGCCTCCATCTCTTACTATAAAATAGCTTTCTTTTCAGAAGTAATTTGTTATAATGGTTGTGAATGGAAATGATTACAAATATTCTCTACAATAAAAAGTGTAGCATAATACTTTTCTATTTTTCATATCTCTAGCTGGCCAAATCCAATATCTTTAGAACCCACATCCTCATACTTTGAATTTATTTAGCATTTTTTCCTTCATTAAATGTAATTATTACAAAGGTAACAAATGTTCTTCATAATAAATCAAATACTTCAGGAAAAAAATGATTTTCCCACTTCAGCAATCCCACATCCTCTCTTAACCCAATCTTCCACATATTTCTCATGGCTCATGCACACAACTAACATATATAGGCTTTCTTTTTTGTTATACAAAAATGGATTACATTATGTACAATAATCTATAATTTGCCATCACACAGCTTAATTTAACAAAATCATCATGGACATCACTCCTGCTCAGTGGTTATATCACATTCCATAGTACAGATATAGTATAATTTATTTAATAAATATATACATTTTTAGTATATATTAATATATATTTATTTAGTTACTCCTCCAGTGAGCAACTGTTATTCATGTTGTTTCCAGTTTTTAGTTATTATAAACTAAGAGATAAATATCCTTACATATAAATCCTAATATATTATATTAGCACTATAGAATATACTAATATATTATTTTTTCTAGGAATGATTCCCAGAAGCAAGAATATTTAAATGATAATATACTTTTTATTTCAATAGCTATTATTGATTTTTTCTCCAAAGGGGTACAATTCACACTACCACCAAAATGTGAGTGCCTAATTGAGTGTCAGATGGATTCACAGCCAAATTTTATCAGACTTACAAAGAACGGGTACCTATACTGCAAAAATTATTCCATAGCATTGAAAAGGAGAATAACTGCACATTATCTTGTTTGATAGTATTGTTTTGATGAAACTTGGTAAGCTGATTCTAAAATGTTTATGAAAATGCATAGGGCTGAGACTAGCCAAATCACTTTTGAGGAAGAAGGTAGGAGAACTTCCTCTATTAGATATCAAGACTGATTATAAAGCCACAGTAACTAAACCAGTATGGTGCTTATGCAAGAATAGACAAATATACAATGAAATAGCCCAGAAACAACCAAAACATATATGTACCTGATTTGTAACAAAGGTGACACTACAGAGCAATGCTGGGAAAAAATGATGTTTCCAAAACATTATGCTTGGTAACATTTGGGTAAGCACAGAGGCTTTAAACAGTAAGATTAACACATTTGATATAACTTATATAAAACACCGCACCCACCAAGTTGAGAATATACATGTAAAAAAACACACATAACAAACATTTACAAAAATTGATTATATTCTGAGACTTAAAGCAATTTCTAACAAATTTAAAAAATATTGCCATGTATTCTGATCATAATAAAATTAAACTTGAAATCATTAATGAAAATATATCTACAAACACTTCACATCTAGAAATGAAGAAAGACATTTTTCTAAATAACCCATAGGTCAAGGAAGAAATCAAAATGGAAATTGAAAATGCTTTATGGGAAAAAAATAAAACTGGATACACCTTCTCATGCTATACATAATAATCAACCAGACAGATTGTAGAGTTACATGGCAAAGGCAAAACAATGGCACTCAAATAAGAGAATATCTTCATGACATTGGGGATAGGAAAGATCTCTCAAACATGGACAAAAGTCATCAACCAACCCATAGAAATGTAAGCAAAAACTTTAAATGGGGACTTCTCACAAACAAAGAGTTACTCAATCTCACTAATAATCAGGTAAATGTAAATTAAAACCACAGTTACCCACTAGAACAGTTAAAATTAAAATGTGACAATACTAAATATAGTATTAGTATTTCTGGGATGTATTGCCCAGGAACTTGCAATCACTGCTGGATGGAGTGTAAAGTTAGTACAACTATTTTAGAAAATACTTTGGATTACTGACTAAAGTTGAACAAGTATGCCCAATGAATGACCAATTCTTGTCTAGGAATATATACTTAAAAGAAATTATGTACATGTGTACCAGTAAAAAAAAAGAAGAAGAAGAAGAATGTTAACAGCATTCATAATAAAAACTGAAAACAACTCAAATGTCCATCAACAGAATAAGTGGATACACTATGGTATACCCATTCAGTGGACACATATAGCAATCAAAATGGATGAACTATTGTTCATCCATTTTGATGATGGCAAAAATAGAAGTAAATCTCAAGCCAGATACAAAAAATATCATGTTTAATTCAATTTATATAATGTTCAAAAACAGGCTAAATTAAACTATAGTCTCAAGAACACACTTCGGTAATAAAACTATTCAGAAAAAGTAGCAAGTATTTAACATGTAAATCAAGATAATGATTGCTTTTGCAGGTGAAAAGATGTTTGTATTTGGGAAGAGCCTATGGATGCCTTCTAGGATACTGGCAACCATCTATTTTTCTTTTCTTTCTTTCTTTTTTTTTGTTTTTTTGTTTTTTTGAGACAGAGTCTCACCCTGTTGCCCCAGCTAGAATGCACTGGCATCATCATAGCTCACTGCAACCTCAAACTCCTGGGCTGACATGATCCGCCTGCCTCAGCCTCCCAAGTAGCTGGGACTATAGGTATGTGCTACCACGCCCGGCTAATTTTTTCTATTTTTAGTAGAGACAGGGTCTTCCTCTTACTCAGGCTGGTCTTGAACTCCTGAGCTCAAGTAATCCTCTCGCCTCAGCCTTCCAGAGTCCTAGCTTATTCCAAAGTCCTAGCTTATTTCTTGATCTAAGTAGTGGTACATGAAAATTCATAGTATAATAATTTATTTAGGTATGTATTTATGTTTTACAGATTTTATAGTATATATGTCATATTTTATAGTAAAAATTTTAATAATACTTTTAGGAAAGAACATTATATTGACCTGTAAGGTCAATTAACCTAAAATAGTAATAAAGTTGAAATCATTTGAATAGGGGTAAAGTTGAGTAGAGATCTTTTCATGGCAGTATATTAGGTATTACCTTGCTGGAAAAAGGATACTAATTCATTTATTCAACTGAACTGTAAAGTTTATAAGAAGAGGGGCCATGTCTAATTTCTTCGCCATTATATCCTCAAGGCCTGTCTGGTTCCTGGTATACAGTATGATTTAATTAATATGGTAAATGAATGAATGTTTTCTTAATATTTTCCACAAAGTGGCAAAGTAGCAGTCCAACAGCAACAGGAAACTCCAACTATAAAGAAATCTAGAATTCTTCTCTAGGAAAGCATAATATAAGTCACTATCATATGTAATATTTCATCTTTATTAAGTGGAAGAAACAATGAAAGGAACTACTCCTTTGGAATTCTGACATACAAGCATAAATCAGTGAAGTGGAAATGAAATCCAGGAGAAAGTAATCATGCCATCTTGAAGTTCATAATAGAAAAAGAAATATTAGGCTTAATGATCCTTTAGGGAAATGAATTTTATCAAGTTTAAAGAAAAAGTTGTATGATGCCATAGCAGAAATCATATTATTATAAGAAGATTTTTTTGAAAAAGTGCTATAGTTTCTAAAAAGTAAAATTCGAACATTATAAAAACAAGTTAATCTGGCTGAGCTAGGTGGCTAACGCCTGTAATCCTAGCACTCTGGGAGGCTGAGGCAGGAGGATCATTTGAGCTGAGAAGTTCAAGACCAGCCTAAACAGCACAGCAAGACCCCATCTCTACTAAAAATAGAAAAAAATAGCTGGGTGTAGTGGCACACACCTGTCGTCCCAGGTACTTGGGAGGCTGAGGCAGGAGGATCACTTGAGCCTAGGAGTTTGAGGTTGCTATGAGCTAGGCTGATGCCATGGCACTCTAGCCCAGGTAACAGAGTGAGACTCTGTCCCCCCCCCAAAAAAAAAAAGTTAATCTGATAAGAAAGAAAAGAAAGTGGCATCTAAAGAAACCAATATGGTTGTGTAAGGTGTGCTATGATAAGTTAAGAATTTTAAGAGACTTGAAACAAGGAGAATCTTGTAAGTAAAATAGGAGCCCAGAATGAGCGGAGGCTGGTGAAAAATGTTAAGAACAATAAAAAGGATTTAAAAAATACATGCAGAGTAAGAACAAGAAAGAAGGGTCAGGCCTACTGCTTAGGGCAGATGGTATAATGTTAACAGATGATGCAGAGAAAGCAGAACTACTTAACTCCTATTTTGCTTTTAAATCTCTATTAAGAAGAAATATTCAAAATTAAAAGGGGCTTAAGAAACATGTTCAAAGGAAATTTGAAATGTTTCTTACTGTAAAGGTTTAGGTAGGCTTCATGAAGCAGGGGAAATTTGTACTGTCTCTGAAAAATAATACCAGAAAAATAGAATATAGTAAATAGAAAGAATAGATTGGGAAAAGACAGAGGTAGGGTAGAAGCCTTTAAATACTATATTTCATCAATTATAGAACACAATATCTTTTATTTTAACATCTCTAAAATTGGAAAGTATCTTAAAATGATGGTAAAAAATTATCATGCCATAGTTAACTGACAGTACTTTTTCTTTCTTAGAGGCATACAAAATAAGGGTGTGTCTAACAATTGATAGTGTCTTCAATTTAATTTCCTCTCTGAGGTTCTGTAGAACTTATGCCAATCAGAGTTGAGGTCAAGGATCCTAAATTCTATTAATCAGTTCATTAAAATGTTAAGGCAAAATTTAAGTTATAAATTCCTCTAAAGCTCACAATAATATAAAACAATTTGCATTCTAATAGCATTCGCTTTGGAATCTACTCTTCCATCTTCCATTCTCTACCTGGAACTTCTCCTTAATCTTGTCTCAACTCTATTATACTTGCTTCTCTACTCTCTTCTTCATTCCTTCTCTTTTCTATTGCTTCTTCCTTTTAAATCTCTCCTATTTTTTTTTTAAATTGAAAGTCGATAGCTAAAGTGTTCTGTATTTCTCCTAGTAA